TGAATTATTATGTATATTATCCTGGTTATTTACACATTATAATTAACTTGGACTGTCTTGGTGCTTTGAAAATGTGATTTGTTAGCAGTTACAGCCACTTATGGAGACACAAACCCATGTAAAATGTACGTGAGTGATAAGAGAATTCAGTTTGCTGAGATCAAACCAACATTTTGCTGAAAGTTTCAATTTCCTGCCTCTAATCCAAAGGGATTTTATATACACTAAATGTAAAATGGGTTAATATTTAAAAGACTGACAAAAAATAGCTTACCAGACGTTTTGTATACACTAGTCCCAATTTTTCTAGTCCAATGCATCATTGTAATGAAAACATTGAAGTCTTGTGACATCTCTCAGTCTCAAATTCAAATTATGCAGAATAAAGGAAAAGAGATCTGCACAAGCAGCTTTATCCATGTACCTCCTTACCTTTCCCTGCTGAAGTGGTGCAGCATTTTCAGAGGAGTCTGATGTTCACCTCTTGTAGAGAGACAGACTTTCCTATAAACTGGTCCAACAGCAGATTGAGAGTTGTAGCCAGCTGCAAGCCACCTCTGAAAGGATAAGCTATACTAAACTGTCATAAGGGGTCTTTATGTGGCTCTGCTTAATATCACCCTTTACAGAAGATATGTTGTAATTGATCTACCTCAGATGATCAGAGGCACTTGATTCATTAAGATGTATTAGGATTAATTTGAGCTGGAGGAGGTTAGGGCTTCGAATTTAATGAAATTTTATCTAACTGCCATGACAGAAAAGAGGCATACATTGAAACACAGACTGCAGAAATCCTTATAATACACAGGTGATGGAGAGAAGTAGTGAGACCAAAAAAAAAAAAAAAAAAGTACTTCCTAGCTGAAACCCTGGAAGAGAAAACAGGTGCAAAATAGTTTATCCAGGTGTGGCTGTATGGAATGCAAAGAGAGCCCCAGTAAAGGAATGAGGCTGAAGTAGGATGAAATTCCCAAAGGCTGCTCTTGTAATGTGGCTATGGGGTATTACTGCAGCTAAACTACCTTACTTTACCCTGGTGATGAATTATCAGCAGTTGACAAAGATTAACTGAAACAGAAATCTCACAACAGAGAATACAGCAGCACATGCATTTTTGTCTGATTTTTCTCATCCATAAATGCTAGATACTAAAAAAAACCAAACCATAATCAACTTGAATATAAACACTATGTTTTCATACTTAGTAGATACATGAAGCTGGCAAGCTTAGCTGCTCACATGGTGTTAGGATTTTGTGTTATGGTGTCTGTGCATGTATGTCACATGCTGGTTTAGAGGGAGGAGATGTTATGCAAGCAGCAGTTCATACTGAAATTTTTCAAGCCTGAAGCAGAATCACTTGGGAAAAAATTCTAGGTAAAATGGCTTAGCTATTTCTCAGAATAGGATTTGAAAAATATGTTGTTTTGAATGTATTAAGCCAAAACTCTTTTTTTTTTTTTCCTAGAGAAGCTCCAAGACAGTCAGGTTTTGAAATACCACTTGGCAACTTGGCTGAAATGGCATCAGCAGTGTTTCTTTTGTCATTCTTGTCAATTTGCCCGAATCAGAGCAAGTTTCAAAATTAAAGAAAGCAGCATCAGTTTGCCCATGCCAGGCAGAGACATGCTAGTGTGCAGGTACTGCATTGGAACAGGTCCCTCTGCGCCCCAGGGCTCTGTCAGGAAGCAGCTTGCTTGGAGGCTCTACAGCTCTGACTCTTGGCTTTGCAGCACCAGGTGCCTGGGAACAGCACTGGGGGTGCAGAGGGAGGTGAGAGAGACAGAGCTGATGGGGGAAACTGGAGCAAGGAGCTGGAGTGGAAAAATTGGAGGTACATGGGGACAAGAGGGAAGATACAAGCTCTGGCTGGAGGACAGGCAGAGAAGCTGGTGCTGACTAGAGTCAGGTCCTTGCAGTACCTAAATTCCACACTGCTAAATTCTCTGAGACACATAGGCAGAAGATTCATTACTCACTTGAATTTCTTGTAGATAATCCCACTCCCACACCATTTTATGATCTTGCCAATGTCAACAATCCTGGTACTTCTAAGAAAGTAAATAATTCTTTAATAAAAGCATTACTGATCTGCTAAGATAAAAATTCCACATGGCAGAGAGTCATGGAAGACAGGTTTATTGCGCTGGACAACCATGAAAGTAGGTCAGATACATGCTTTCTGGAGATTCTTGATGGCTGTCACGGTGTGACAGCTACAGATACAATTGTAGCAAAGCTTCCACTTTTATTTCTTGAACAGCTTTCTCACATAGATTCCTCCCACAAAAATAAAAACTACAAAGAGCAAATTCTAGAATTTTTTGCCAGACTAATCAAGGCAGATTACAGGGAAAAAGAGAAGAACCAGGCAATGAGGAGACCAACAAGACCAGTCTATTATGAAAGTGTATGCTAAGTCCTTTTGGAGAATGCAGATTTTTACAGCTGGGAAGGAATGAGGTTTCCAAAGGTTTTCACTGGAGTGGCTGTTCAGCGTGAAAAAGAATTCCTAGTGAAGAGATGGATGGCACTGGGGAAAGAGGAAAGAAAACATCCTGAAAACAACACACACAGCCCATTAGCCAGGACAGCCAAAGGTGTTGCTAGGCTACTGCACGTTGCTATTATAGGTAAGTATATTCCACACCAGGATTTTTTTTTTCCCTTCATCTAACTAAGTTAAAAAAAAAAAAAAAAAAGCAGGCAAGCCTAAATTAATCTAGAGATTTGTTGGCAGTTGGTATCTGGAGATAAAAAGCAGCAATTCCTTTAGCTTGACAATGTGAAGCAGACATGATAAATTCCCTCACAACTGATACTGCTATCTGACAATAATATTCAGCTTATTAGATAAGTAGCCTGAGCACAATATTTGAATTAAAGCATTTAATTCAATTTACTAATGTAAAAGACAGAGTTAGGAAACATTCCATAACACACCTCTGTAAAAATATTTTTTTTTTTAACTAAAAAGTTTAAAGTGTCATCACTTTAGAACAGGCTTCTGATTTTTGATGTGTCAAAGTCCTTGTGTCAATGAATTATTCTTAAGATATTCTTTTAATTCATTTGTTTCATTGGACTGTCACCACATTTTGCTATCAGCAAGCTGAAAACATGTTTGAGGGAATAATCTGAATGATTACTTTCTGAAATAGGAATCTGTTGTATTTTACTCTTATGAAAGAACTATTCAGACATGTTTCCTTATGCAGTAGAACCTAGCTTTTCTTTAGTACAGAATCAGTTATTTTTTACAATCAGAAACAATGGTACATGCTAATGCTTCTTCATCTACCCCTGCTACAAGGGATACTAGAAAAGCTCTTGCAGACTAGCAACTCTAGCTGCTAGTATCTTCCCACCTGGTGATTTTTGTTACTAGTTAAGACCTCTCCTGTACATAAAACAGCTGTGAGATTACAAGCAAGATATTTGCTTTCCCACCAAGGAGTGCACAAGCAGAGTGGGTATAAAAAAAGCTGGTGGGTGAAGAGTTCCAAATGGATTTGTGTCTGCAGTTACATTCTCTTCCAGCCTCTGCTTGAAGCACATGCCCAGCACTACACCACTTCTCTATCACTCTCCTTGGCATTAGTAAGGAGTGGGCTGCCACTGCCACTGACATCAGAGGCACTCTTTTTTCCTGTGATGTGTGCATTCACACAACTTGTAAGACTTCTTCACATTTCTCCATATGAAATTTGACCAAAATTAATGAAGAGAGTCAAAGATCAGTAGAAAAAGGGACAACCATTTGAGAGACTTCATTATGGGTCAAGACAAAAAAAAAATCATGTTCTACATTTGAAAAAAATAATTCCAGATATTTAAAAAATAATTTTCCTTAACAACAACTTGCACTCATCTGCCAGCCTGAGAAACACTGTAAACTGACTTTATCATGCACTGACACTGATCTAGGTAACTGTGGTGTATCCCATCACCTTCATTCTTTAATGCTTGCTCTACTTTAGCTTAATTAAGCTTTCTGCAGTTATGTGACCTTTACTGGTACAGGTATCAAAACAGGTAGTTCAGCACTAGGCTGCCTATTCTTTCAGGAAATGCAGTCCCACCTTTACTGGAATACAGCATTAATTCACAGAAAGGCTGCAATGTTTTCAGACATTCCAATGACCTTATTGGAAACACGTTTTATTTCAAAGAGCTTGATGAAGGCAAGAACTGAGGCTGGGTAAAATCTTTACCAAATTGCTTCTGGGTCTTGTTACCTGCCTCATCCATTCCTTGCAGAGAGGGTTTCATGATGGATGCAATTAAGGATACCATAAATTTAAGCTCTGATAACAAGTTAAGATTTGAAATTCATCAGAGGTACTTTAAATCTTTTATGATTAAAGTCCACATTTCTGCACCACTGCTAAATACACATTTATTAAATACAATTAATTTACCACCAAATGTACCACATCAAAGGAAAAAATTCATGCAACATGAACCTTGATTTTTCCCCAAGGAGTGCATTCTTACAGAAGTACAGACATGTTTCTTCAGCTCCAGATAAGCAACTAAAGAGGATGGTCAGATACAAGGAGCAGGAGGTGGTGACATGGGCCATCTTCTTCATTTAGTCCCACATTGATAGGTTAGCTAAGTTTTGCTGTTCTTTTGCCCTGTCTGGGGTTTGCAGACAAGACAGACTTGCATCCAAAAGGAACTAGATTTTATTTTTTTTGCACTCAAATTGTTCCACATGGGTTGTATTATGGCCTTAGTTAGGCTTAGAGTTGGTGGTCTTGCTCCAAGGGTTTAAAGGATATTTTACACATTCTTCTAGCTCTCCATGGAAATCAGAAGAAGGAAGGGGAAACAAGCACAAGGACACATACAGAGCAGAACTTAAGGCATCTAAAATTTATAATTAATTAAAAAGATGCATCCTTCAGTTTGGTATTTTGAATCACTTTCTGATTTAAGGCAGAAGAAATTTGCCTTCACAGACTACACTTAGCTGTCTCCTCCACTCGATGATGCCAATACTACCCAAGAAACACAACTACTGTGTAAGCAATGCCTACTCATACACCCTTTTCAGAGGTCTGTGCCCCAGTCTAGCCAGATGACATTAAAAATACAATATAAATGAACACACTGCAGCCAGCTTCATGTCTAGAAAGCCATCACATCCCAAGCAAGTTCCTTCTGCCTGGCATTGCTTTTGCTTACATGCCAACACATTGGAGGGGACTGAACATCTCCCCTAACACAGGAAATGGTCTCCCAGGGCAGCCACAGAGGATCTCAGACAACACAGCACTTCAGAGCTCTTTCATTTATGCTCTGTGTTCAAATCTGACATGACCAGCTACCTGCAGTGTTGCAATTTCTAACACTTTTAATTCTCAGATTTCAGAAATGTTGAGGGATAGGAAAATACCTCTTCCTACTAAAGCCAAGAAATTAGTCCTCAACTTCCCATAATGACTAAGAATTCTTGCTCCCTTGGGTGCCTTAACCAAGTAAGAGATTTAAGGCATCCTGTAAGTAAACAGTAAATCCTACATCATGCCCAAATTATTTTCAAGTACTAGAATTTGTAGGCTGCCAGAAACAGTCTGAGCTGAAACTTCTTCCTGAGTTCATTCAGACACTTGAAATCACATGTTCTCATAGGAGAAAAAGTATTTGAGAAAAATAGAGAAGTTGCACTCTGACTGGCTTTTAAACAAGAGTGCATATTTTTCATATTAGACTGCACTTTAAGCTGCATGAAATGTCACCTAATTCTCCTCATAAGAGTTTATTTGCAGTCAAGAGATTAAGATTCCAGAACAGTCTTCTAAGAATGGAAGGGGAAAAACCACAGAAAACTTTGCTGTAAAACCAGAAACAGATTCAATGACGGACATATTGTTGCCTGTAAAGTAGATTATTAACTACGATCTCAGGTTTTTTCCCAGTCCTTAACAAAAGGCTGATACTGTAAGAGCAGTGTCTTCTAAAAACCCAGTACGCTCTAAATACTATTTCAACTTGAGATGATGTATGTGCAGTCTTACATAAAAATAGTCATGTCTCTCAAGAGCACAGCTCTTCTAATGTGAGAGAAAACACTTCAGAATGGTAGAAACATCAGCACTAATAAACCAGATTTGTAAAGGGATACCTGAGAACTACAAGGGCTTCTTGGATGTCACGGAGCTTCAGTAAAAAGAACATCTGTTATACCTGTACCTTGTACTGCATCTGTCCCTACCAATGTTACTTGCCAGTTTCTTATTTTGGCTTCTAATGGGCTTTGAAGGGTTTTGGATTACCTGAAGTACTTGCACCAACTCTTAACATTCACTCATTATTTGAGAATGCATGAATGCTGTTCAACAAAACAGGACTTTGTGTGTCAGTATCTAGTATCCCTCACTGGAGACAACTTAACTGACTCTAACACTATTAATCATCTGCAAGATAGAATACAGCTATTTTATTCCAATAAAGGTATTTTTCAGAGTGACTCAAAAGGCAATCTGAAACAAAATCAGTGAAAATGTTCTAGGAAGAATTATGGACATAGTAAAAATGGAACTCCTAATAAGGAAACCAATGACCACAAAAATCAACCTAACCCAGAACTGTCTCTTATCAGTAATAATGGAGTAAATTCAAAGAACAGAGATATGCTACTCCAATTCTAGCACACAAGGTGACTCTGAAGAACTCAGTTTGAAGACAGAAAATTTTATCTAAGTGAGACTTCAGAGCAAGAAGAAACCACTTTCTGTGCAACAGGTCCAAGTCAGAGCTATAAACAGCTGCAAGAGAATGTGCTGGCATCAAGGTCTAAGGTCATGAAAATTACCCCAAAATAGACAAAACCATGCCATCTAATTCTCACTCAAATACACAGCTGGCAGAAAAAATGGACTCCAATTCATTTTGTGACAAAGTGCAGGTGATGCTGGTCAAGAACTGCTAAAGACTGTATCACCACTGGGTTCCAAACCACCACCACAGTTTGAAAAAGATACAAAAATGTACCCGATCAATTGGAAATCACAAGCTGCAGAAGAGACACAGTCAGCTCAGAGACATTGCAATGCAACAAGTCACCTTGTGAACAACTGGCAAAGACTGCATTAGCTGCAGGTTCAAGAGACAATATTACTATTTTGATCATACTTATAAATGGATGTGATAAGATACCCAATTACCTCAACATTTAAAGATTTATCATAGGATAACTGGAGTGCCACAATATATAAAGGACAAGCTTATATTTAGCTATGCCATGAATTTATTGTAAGCATCTTAAATGCTGACCCATACAGTGAAACAGACAATCTTGTCTGGAGCTGTACAAATGCAGTAAAACCTCCTGAAACTCTCAATAAGAACCAGTAATCAAAATTTTTTTAAACCACTTTATTCAAACCTGAGCACCTCAATATAAAACTAAACACTGGTGAACTGTCATTTTTCTTGCTAAACCCAGATTACTGCAAATTTAAAATCTGCACAAGTAAGTTTCTATCAGTTCAACATTTAAATAGACTAATTCATCTCTTCTGACACACTTTGTAGATTTCATATAATGAAAATAACTAAAAGAATTAGTGCAATATACTGGACTGATCAAAATAAAATGTACTTTGGAAAACAAAGTTGCGAAGTTCATTACTGACAGACAGCAGTACTTATGTTACAGATACAGGAGCATCATTTATTACTGTTCTAGCCATAAAGGAAGAACTCAGAACCCCCTTTGATTAGAGAGGAAAAAAAGTTAGCTTTAAGTAACTGTACATTCTGTATACCTTTAAGCAACTCTTAAATATTACAGAAAGTATTAAACAAATGTAGACTACAATGCAGAGTACCTATTTACAGTACATTAATATCCAAATTTAAAATCAAGTTGGATGTACATAATTGTTAGTGCACTATTTTTTTTTTTCCTTAGGGGAAAAACAAACTGTAATGGCCAGCAATGATCAGAAACAAGAAAAGAAGTCACAGACACCGAGTTTGTTGTGGTTTTACTTGAAGAGCTCTTACAGTTTGTAGAGGACAAAAAACCCCATCATCCTAAGTTGTAGAGTTGAATTTACTGGTCTGTACCCTCTGAACAGATTAGAAATGAAGTTAGACTTGATTCATCACTAATTCATTAAGATAACTAACTGGGTTGATATAATTTACATACAGTGTACCAACTAAGACTCCACTTTCTGGCAAGCACAGGATTCTTAAAATTGTTAATGCAAGTATTATTTGTAATAAAATTATTAACCTATGGAATGTATAACTAAACAGTGGATACCTGCAGAAACAACTGGTTGCATCAATACTGCAAATAAGTTTAAGTAATTTTTAGACCCTGTTTCTAAGGAGGTTTTAAAGCACAATTGAGAATTATGAAAAGACCCAATTCTATTTATTACAACAGTGATCAGTATTGAGGCTACAGGAACTGGCCAATTAGGTCCACAGAAAGTAGTTCTTCTACACCCCTAATAATAACAACTGATATTTAAAACCTTTCAACTGAAGGAAGTTTATTCCGCCTCCATCTCTCCTTTACTGCTGAAACATTACAGCCAGTGGTGGATACATGCATGTTAAAATTTTAGGTGAAAAGAAAACTCTGTATCATGAACTTGACTATTATTGTAAGTCTCTTCGCTGTTTGGAAGCTGTACTGGACCAGGTTAAGCACTCCAATTCCATGGTTATTAACAGTTAGGAAGCAGAAGAATATTCAGAACAGTTTAAAGCAATTGATCTTTTAGTTACTACAACATTGACTCTTGGGTGGTTGTGTGGGTTCAGTAAGGTCTACTCCTCTTCCTCTGGCAGAGCTGGCTCCTGCATTCTGTGGTTCATTCTTGGGCAATTTTTTTGCTGTAAGGTGAACAGGAAGTAAGAGTTAAACCTGAGATTTTACTAAGATTAAATCACCTGAGTAAACAGAACAACACATTATAGGCATATCAGTGTACTCATTGTATAATCTGATTTGATTCGGTGCATTGGTAATGAGAGAAGTGAAGACACTTCTTAATGATTAGCTACTTTATGATTTCCAGGAGTGAAATGCACTGGTAACTTGAGCACTAAAATGTATCTGCACAGGTGTGCTATGCCAGTAAATGACAGCTCCTATGGGAATCCACCCACACAGAACAGATCAGGATGTTAGTGCAAAAAGATACAGAAACATTGAAACAAAACACAGACAGAAATGGGTCAAACAGTTCCCAGATATCCAGCCAGAATAAGTGTTTGCAGACAACATATAAAATGGCCCTCAACACCAGATCAAGCCACTCCTGTTTTTATTCAGCTTCTTCTCTCCAGTTCTTATCAGTCAATTGACTGGTAATTTCTTTGTTGCCCTTGTAGCTCCAAGGTTCCTCCTCAGTCTTAACACAAAAAATAAGGCTGAATGCTGCCACCCTTCCAAGCAGCGGCTTCTCCTAGATTTCTCTCCAACAGAAAACTGCTAAGTTCTACACAAAAGGACTTCCATGGGCCTATCTTAGCAGGGCCCAGCAACCACCTTTGTTCTATAGTTTGGCTGAATGGTTTCACTCCAAACTAATTACTTCTGTCACTGTTTAAAATAACTTTTTCTAAAATGAATGAAAAGAAACCAAAAAAAGCCAAAAAAACGCAGAGCAGACATCAACATGTTGTGGTGCCAGGTAAGCTCAGGGTGCTGGGCAAAAGGGTGGGTCAGCCACAGGGATCCTGAGGTCCCCTCCAACTTGGGCTGTCCTACAGTTCTGTGGTAAAACCCAAGAATCCACATGGTACTAAGCTGCTGAGCCAGTACAAAGGGTCAATGTATCAACAGAAAAATGTCTTCAGAGCAATGTTTTGGATTCTAGAACTGAATTAGGACTGGGATTTTTTAACTGTGAGTTCAATGAGTACTGAAGCAGTCAATTTACAAGCAGCTGCAGCCTGCATCCAATAATTCTTTCAACATTCTCATTTCTCATTTTCTCTCAGCTTTAACATCATATTTACACATGGTCCTGAGGATTGCATCCATATTTTGCAGGCCATTCCAAATTACATGCAATACTTATAACCTCATCAGAATTTCCATTCAGAATCTATTGCTGCACAGATATTGTTCTGATGCACTGACAAAGCTGAATTTCACCCCACTGATGTAAAATTCTCACATGGCCAAAAAACATTGCAGACCAAACACACAGTTACTAATTGGCCATTTTTTTTCCTCAAATTTACTTTGTAGGCTTCATTAAAATATGGAAGCAAGAGTGATTGTTGATATATCAAATTAAAAAAAAGCCCAACAGATTCTGGGGACTTTTTTAAACAGGAAGTAACTTGCACCATTAAACATAATTTTGAAATTTCACCAGAACAGTACAGTTGTGCATTTCTGTATAATTAAATGCAGGCCTATCTTGAACATTTATGAGAAAAATATGTCTTCCTGTCAGAAAGTTAAGTATATGTGTCTATCCCCCTTTTTCAATTATTTACAGCTAAAATGAAGCAAGTACTTGTTATAAAGTGTGCTATGCTGTTAATTTAATTTGCATCTCCTGGAAGTTTGAAAGACACCACAAACTACCTCCTGCTCTCCTGGCTTGGAAAGCAGAAGATTAAGACCTCTTTAAAAACATTTAATTTTAACATCAAAGATGCTTTTTCACAAAAAGCAGGTTAGAGTGGTGCAACAGATTGAGAGAGGTTATTTGATGTTATACATTACTACTACCCATTAGCAAAGCACCTACTATAATTAAGGTTACTACTAAATTGATTACTGGCCAGCCTAAAAATGAATTCTTTTCCCTCTGCTTTCAGAAATTTATTAACAATTAAATACAATTTTCAGTATCAATGGAACACAAACGTTCTTGGTTTATACTTACTACTACATGCTTGCAGAAATCCCTAAGACTATGTTAAGTTAAAAATATATGAGTAGATTTACTTTTCACATGCAGGGTCCTTTACTTATAACTTGGACACTGAATTTAAGCACACATTGCGATCTTTGGCATGGCTTTTGGATTTCAGATAGCTGCCTAAATAAAATTAAACAAATGGAAGGGAGTAAGAAGGCTTCAATACCAAAAATAATTTACATTAGGTTAGGAAGATTGCCATGGTGTGAATCTCATGAAAACATTCTCTTTAAAGTTCTCATTTTGTTCATAAACTCACCAATTGCCATGAATATTTCATTTACGTTCATAGATGTTTTAGCAGACGTCTCCATGAACAATAGGCTGTTGTCATCTGCATAAGCCTGTGCTTCCTGAAAGTTAAAATAAGGATACATTACTTCAGAAGAAAAAAAAAAAGAAAACTCATACAATCATTACACACTGTACTTTTAATTGCTACAAAGCAACAATCTCTGCAGCATTTTGAAAGAAAGACAGTTTGTGGAAACACTCATCTGACAAATTTATGCACTAGCTATGGATAAGTTAAAATTTCACCAATCACTTAAACAATTATAAGTGGAATCTTAAAGATCCCTACTCATCTTAAAAAATATTCAGGTGGAAAAATGTAAATAATAAACGGCAAAACTAAATAATAAAGAAAATATTTATGAAAGAGATAATCCCAATGCAGAACATTAGATGTGATAGTAAGAATAAATAAGCTTCAAAAGTGCCATCAAATGTCTCATTATTACCCTGGAAAGAGGCAGTCTGTGAACTATCTTGAATCTTTCAGCCACTGAGGCAGCTGGATCAGAACAGTTTTATTATCCTGATATAAATTCACAATTACAGCAAATAAGCAGTAATCAGTAATTTGCCATGTTACCTCCCTTTTCAGTATGAATTTTAATCTGATACACTGCTCTTAAGAACCATACTATTTTTGCCACTTCTTATTAGTCAATTCAGCTGAGAATCTCCAGCTTCTTATGATTATGTAACTGCCTTTGCATTCAATAAGAAATCTGTGAAAAAGCAGAACTACAGAACACCTATGATGACAAGAATAATCGATGACTCTATAATTGACACCTGCAAAGATCTATGTAATTATATATGAAACAACACATTAATACTACTTAAAAATCTAATAGTTGATTTGCAATGAGAAAGTTCTGTCAAGCCCACAAGGAGCCCACAAATCCACTGGAGCAATCCTCCCTACATTTGAAAAACATTAAGACTGTAATTGCTAAAAAAATAGTACAGATAGGTCTACTTTGATAGTTAAATGTGATTACATTATTGACTGCAGTCATGTATGAAATTTTTGTTAAATACCACAATTTTTCATAGAACACCAAAGCCACCTGTCGACTGTCACAGAAGTATAAAATTAAAAAACTGGCAGAAGAACTCCTAAACCACTGTTAACCTTTTAATTCAACTCTCTATAGTTACAAAAGGATTCATTACTATATGCAGCTGCATCTCAAACAGTGACCCCAAACACAGATTAAAAACTGTAAATTACTGACTAAAAAATACTATCTTAATTCAATTCAGTCAATCATGAATGGACCAAAACTACCTGCAGTTAGTTTAATTCAGTTTAAAGGCTATTTGCTGATGACTTGATTAAACTTTCTAGAAGATAAAATACATCAGTGAGAGCACAGATGTTATCACTAAACCAAAAGAAATGCCATGAAAAGCTCAATTAAAATTTCAACACTGCTTCAACAGTACAGCCTAAGCATGTTAGGCACATCAATCAGCTTTGTATCATAGGATAATCAGAATTCTCTGGCTGACAAGCCAGACAGAACAGTTTGCGCTGAGTTACTGCTATCTCATCCACTGAAACTCTAGTTACCGGTAATTTTGGGAACAAGACAGAAAGAGGTCACATCAAAGAACAGATACTCAATTAGACTTAAAGATATGCAAATAAATTAATT